GCTTGTAAAACTATTCTTTGAATTAGTTTTTTTTTTTACTTTCTAACTGAACAAAAAAAGAAACCGTTGAACAAAATAGATGATTAATTCAAAAATATTATAATTATTAACTTTTTGTATGACATTAAATCCTTAACTTGCAATTCATTCATTCAACAAAAGCTTAAGCTAAGAACACCCCCCCCTACTGTCTCAATTTATTAGATACAAACGGTTTTACTGCAAACTCCCTAAACCAATCTAGACTGAGTCTTACATACTGGTAGTTTTACTGCAAACTCCCTTAAACCAATCTAGACTGAGTCTTACATACTGGTAGTTTTACTGCAAACTCCCTAAACCAATCTACATTGAGTCTTACATACTGGTAGTTTTACTGCAAACTCCCTTAAACCAATCTAGACTGAGTCTTACATACTGGTAGTTTTACTGCAAACTCCCTTAAACCAATCTAGACTGAGTCTTACATACTGGTGGTTTTACTGCAAACTATATTACAAACTGCTCTCGATTAACAATTTTAAAGATTAGTTCTGTAATGTCTTGAGAGCAGTTTGTAAAATCATTAACAATTTTAAAGTTAGTTTTGTAATGTCTTGAGAGCAGTTTGTAATATTTTCCTAAATCTGTTATATGTAATCCAAGACAATAATTAGTGTAATGTTTGATCATTTTAAAGACAAGCTTTGTAATGTTTTATTGATCTTTGAGGTGGGCATAGTACAGAGATGTCACTGTGTAGTTTGTGATTTGAAACCAACAAAATAAAAAATTGTCATTTTGAGATTTTTCTACTAACTGAAATTAATTTAAAATTCATGTTTTCTGACTGAACAATTCTGTTTAAAAAATGAGTTTCTTAATATTACATACTTTAACAAATAAAGACGAATACTTTAGACCAAAATATTTTTGTTTTAAGTTTAAAATTAACATATTTCAAAACTCATTGTCAATGATTCTTATGCTGTCTTTGTTTATCTACTTTCAAACAATGTCATAGTAGACATTTCTGCTGTCACCAAGTTTATCAAGCAAATTTATTATTTTTTTAGAGCCCTCTACGTGTACACCCCGTGAAAGATCTCTGTTCTGACCATGCAAGAACTGTATCGGACTGAATAGCTGAACACCACTAACTATGGCTCTCATTAAACAAATTGTTAATGTGTTTTTCAGTCTTTCTAATTACTTTGAATTAATATCATTACTGCTATACATAAAAATTATCACGTGATTTTCCTAATAGTGATATAATAATGACAATGTTTGGTTGTTTTGGATACTAGATTTTCATGTTTGTTTTTGGATACTAGATTTTCATGTTTGTTTTTGGTAGTATCCAAAAACAAACATGAAAATCTAGTGATTTTCATGTTTGTTTTTGGTTACTAGATTTTCATGTTTGTTTTTCCACAAGTAACCGTGAAGTTTGTTTAAATCATTTTTTTACATTTATTGTTTTAATAGCTTTGAATTGTGCTAATTTGATATTTATTTTAAAGAGGCCTTTTCTCCTGTTTTATAAAGATGGCTGCCATGACGTTACAGTATTTAATGATGGATAAATAAGAGGTTAGTCTGTGAGAAAAGACGTCAAGGTTTTTTTCTCACAGTTTGTGAAATGAAGGAACGATATTGATGAGTCTGTGATATCTAACTTGTCAGATCTTAAACAGATAACTGTGAGGGAAGAAAGATGCGTGAACAGAAGTCATCTGTGTAACACGATTAGTGAAAACAACCGGGATATTTTTCAGTCTTTCAATATTAGTCATCTTTTTTTGCTGTAAATACATAGTAAAGCCAAGTTTGTAATCCAATGTATACACTTTTCTTTGCACCAAAAGATAAGAGAAATGAATTTTAATCACGAAATGTAGAAATGTGTAGAATTAAAAAATTCCAACATAGATTTGTTTCTACGTTCCTCTATATGTTTAAAAACTAATTCCACAGATCGTATCACGTGATTTACTGGATATTATGAAGCAGTCGAAAAGTAATTGGCTTAATATATATATATATATTTAACGTATACTAAATTTTTATCAATAACTGTGAAGTTTACACAGGAACATCGAACTGTCACTGTGCTCGTGGATCTTTAAGTTAAACATAACGTGACTTTAAATGATGGGGTAACTATTTGATGTAACGTTTACTTTTTATTTTGTTTATTCCAAACATCAAACGTACAAGTAAAAGGGAAACACATAGAGTTATTCTGTGTTATATCTTAAGATATAAAGACTTGCATCACGACCGGATCAGGGTTACGGTTAGTACAGTAGAGTAAGTAGTGATGACAAATCCTTTCAACAACGGAATATCACATTTGATGGTCCAAAACAGAAAATTGTTTTAAACCTTCTTGTCAGTCTACATCATCTGTAATCCGTGGCCAGTCCTTGATAAAGTTTTTCCTTCTGGTGCCCACATGGTCACAAGTCAGTGTTTTAAACCTTCTTGTCAGTCTACATCATCTGTAATCCGTGGCCAGTCCTTGATAAAGTCTTTCCTTCTGGTGCCCACATGACGTCACAAGATATTGTTTTAAACCTTCTTGTCAGTCTACATCATCTATAATCTGGTCTATTATGGTGTGTTGTTGAACTGGAATAGGAGTTTTTTTATAATTATTTTCAACTCTTTCATAAACAGACGGCTGTAAGTTCCAATAATCACTGTTTACAATGCCAACAAGTATGTTGCCGAGTAAGTAACAGCACGTCAGGGTAAGGGGGCGCTGTCATCAGGATAAGAACGTCTACGTTTAAGTGATGACAGACATCTTCCACTACAACTCCCAACTGTGTAAGCAACAGATGACACGAATAAACTTCTTGAGTAACCAAAATTATAATGTTCCCGTCTTGTGACCATGTGGGCACCAGAAGGAAAGACTTTATCAAGGACTGGCCACGGATTACAGATGATGTACTGACAAGAAGGTTTAAAACAATGTCTTGTGACGTCATGTGGGCACCAGAAGGAAAGACTTTATCAAGGACTGGCCACGGATTACAATGATGTAGACTGACAAGAAGGTTTAAAACAATGACTTGTGACCATATGGGCACCAGAAGGAAAGACTTTATCAAGGACTGGCCACGGATTACAATGATGTAGACTGACAAGAAGGTTTAAAACAATGTCTTGTGACCATGTGGGCACCAGAAGGAAAGACTTTATCAAGGACTGGCCACGGATTACAATGATGTGGACTGACAAGAAGGTTTAAAACAATGTCTTGTGACCATGTGGGCACCAGAAGGAAAGACTTTAT